CACCACCTCAACATTGAAGTGTAAGGAACGGCCTTCGAGGTGGGTACCAAAGGCAAATGTCTAAATGACAGAGATGGGAGGAAGGCAGAAGGAGGCCCAAGAACAGAAGAGCTTCTCCAAGCTGGCGGTGAGCTCTGTGCAGGCAGGGGCTCTAGAGCAACTCAGAACAAACACCTGCAATCCAGCAGTACCAGCTCCCCAAACACCAGTGAGCGCAGGCGCTGGCCCCAACTGCAGCATCTTGCTAAATTTAGCTTAGAAGCCCTCCTGCATGTAAATATTAGATTAGGCCTTGAGAGCAAAGAGTCTGTATAATAAAGTCCATTCTCTATCAGAAACTGTGAATTTATTTTATTTTTGTCTGGTTTTTTTTTTTTTTTTTTTTTTTTTTTGAGACAGGGTCTTACTATGTAGAACTGGCTGGCCTGGGGCTCATTATTGTAGACCAGCCTGGCCTCAAACTTACCCAGATCTGCCTGCTTTAGCTTAAATGCTGGGATTTAAATGTAGGCCAACATGCTAGGCACAAGCAGCTGTGGATTTTAAAAGGCTCTGACATATCAACATAACAAGACCAGCAGTCTTTACTTGTAACAGCTGCCCATCAGCTCTCCTCGTTCCTTGGTTCTTCCCTGTCCTATAACGTCTTAGGATTTTCCCTGCTGGCTGGCTCTTCAGGGAGCATGTACTTTCCGACATGATCTCCTGCTCAACCACAACTCCTCCACACCCACTCGATTCAGTCAAATACAGGGCTCGCAACATCATCATAAGTATGCCTACAGGTTTCAGCCAATCAGGCTCAAGTACTAGGTATAAAAAGGGCTCAGGCAGCTGGTGGTGATGGCTCACACTCGGGAGGCAGAGGCAGGTGGATCTCTGTGAGTTTGAGGCCAGCCTAGTCTACAGAGTGAGTTCCAGGACAATCAGAACTACACAGAAAAAAACAAAACCTGTCTTGAAAAACAAAACAAAAAACAAGAAAAAGATACTTCCTCTGCCTATGAAGGGAGTGCTGGTAGTCAAAACCTGGCCTTGACACTTAAGACCACCAGCTATGTCAATGCATTTCACAGGAAACACACCATTCTTTCATTTGAGAAACTCACTATTGTATATGGCCGAACAATCTGTTCTGGATTCTTCAAACCCCACATGTAAGGGGCTGAGATGTAGCTTAGTGGTACAGTGGTAACACAAGGGTCAAGCCCCATACCACCCCAAAAGGGAGGGAGGAGGGCCGGGAGTGACTCAGCAGATAGACGTGTTATCCATGCAAGCCTGATAACCTACATTCAACTGCCCAGAAAAGACAGTCACATGTGGTGGCTTCCATCTGTAATCCTGGTGCTCTAGGGTCAATGGGAGGCAGAGAAGCTTGTGGCTATCTGGCCTAAAAAACGGTTTAGTAAGTATAGAGAGGCCCTGCCTCACACAGGGTGAAGGGAACCAACCCCTCCAAAGGAGGGCCATGCCATTTGTGTTTTCACACCACTTAGAAACGTGTGTGTGTGTGTGTGTGTGTGTGTGTGTGTGTCTACATTCATGTGTGCATGCCCTCAGGGTCTCTCAAGATTTATTAATGAAAAAAGCTCAGTGGTTAAGAACACTGGTTGCTCTTCCAGAGAGCCAGGGTTCCAGTCCCAGCATACACGGGACAGCTCACAACTGTCTATAACTCCAGTTACAGGGGATCAAACACCCTCATCTGACCTCACCAAACAGCAGGCATGCATGAGGTACACAAACATAAGCAAAACACTAATGTACATAACAAAAACAATCTTTTTAAAAAAGATTAGGGTTTGGAGGGAGAAAAGGAAAGGGAGAACATGTAATTATATTATAATCCCAAAACACATGTGCCTGTACCCGTGGAGGTCAGAAGAGGGTGTCTGATCCCCTGCAACTGGAGTTACAGGAAGTTGTGAGCTGTCATGTGGGAGCTGGAAACAGTAGCAAGTGCTCTTAACCACTGTGCAATCTCTCCAGCTCCATAAAATTTAAAATGTAATTAAAAAACTGGGGAGGGGTACTTAGAGACAGGGTCTCTCTATGTAGCCCTGGCTGTCCTGGAACTCACTCTGTAGACCAGGCTGGTCTCAAACTCAGAGATCCTCCTGATTATGCCTCCTGAGTGCTGGAATTAAAGGCGTGTGTACCACCACCATCCAGCTAATAAAAAATATTTTAAGGTAGAGTAGAAAGTAATAATGGAAAACAAGTGTCTATCCCTGAGCTCCATACACGAATAAAAAAAAATGAAGTGTATGGGAACCTGACATATTCTCTCTCCCTCCCTCCCTCTCTCTCTCTCTCTGTGTGTGTGTGTGTGTGTGTGTGTGTGTGTGTGTGTGTGTGTGTATGTATGTATGTATGTATGTGTGTGCGCGCGCATGCGCACCCACGAGAGTTGGTTCATCCTGACCTGCTGAGCCAGTCCTCTAGGGCTATCTTAAATCTTATATACGTTAACTTTATCTTCTTCATTCTTCTGGCCTCAGAGTGACATTTGTGAAGTGCCTCAGCCTCTGGTGTGTGATGGTCAAGTGTTTGTTGTTTTGTGTGTCTGTTCTCATTTATATGTTGTAGGTAGCAGGTCAGCAGGGAACTAGCCAGCTCTCCTTCTCACCACATGGTCCCAGGGTTGGCAGCAAGTGTCCTCCCTCACCTCCTGGACAGCTTCAGAGGCCCTGCATTTTCTGTGTCCTTTTTTCGTTTTTTGTTTTTATTTTGTTTTGTTTTTTGAGACAGGGTTTTTCTCTGTGGCTTTGGAGCCTGTCCTAGAACTCGCTCTGTAGACCAGGCTGGCCTGGAACTCACAGAGATCTGACTGCCTCTGCCTCCTGAGTGCTGGGATTAAAAGCATGCACCACCACTGCCTCGCCTCATTTTCTGTATTCTTAATCCTCAAACAAACAGACAGATAAACAAAACACCCTCAAAGCCCTCCTTTAAAACACATCTAGGAAGTGGGAACTACTATTATTCTCATTTTTACATATGAAGGAACAGAAAAAAAAAATCTAGTAATTTAGCCAATATAAAATCAGCAACTGGTGGGTAAGAATGCCTTCTTTCCCTTATTTTACTTTGGTTTTTCAAGACTGGGTTTCTCTGTGTAACCCTGGCTGTCCTGGAACCCACGCTGTAGACCAGTCTGGCCTCAAACGCACAGAGATCCACCTGCCTCTGTCTGCCTCCCGAGTGCAGGAATTAAAGGTAGGAACTACCATGCCCAGAAGAATACCTACCTGCCTCCCTCCCTTTTCTTTCTTTTCTGTGTGATGTGCATTGGTGTTTAGCCATGGGTGTCGGGTCCCCTGGAACTGAAGTTATAGACAGCTGTGAGCTGCCATGTAGGTTCTGGGAATTGAACCTAGGTCCTCTAGAAGAGCAGTCAATGCTCTTAACTCCTGAGCCATCTCTTCAGCTCAAGAATACCTTTCTCAAAGAGAAGCTAATAACTGACTATTAACAAAAGGGGAAGCTAGGAAAAGAGAGGTTATAAAAATTAGGCATACTAACTTTAGCTGCAGAAATGATCTCCTCTCAACAGAGCTTGACACAGTGGCTCACTGCTATAATCCCACAGCCTGATAGGTGGAGGCAGGAGGACCAGGAACTCAAGGTCATTCTTGGTATGTGACAAGTCTGAGGACAGACCCAGCTATATAAGACCCTGTCTTATGTAATTAAGAAGTAAATAAAATCATACTAAGAGTCAATGTTGCCAGAATGTCCTTCCAATGTACATATGTTCAATTATTAAGTTATGCTAAAGCACCCTTTACAAAAGCTACCCTTGGTCTTTTCCCCCCAAAGGAGAGGGTGAAAGGAAATGAAGGATAAAGGGAGCTGCAGTCTTACTATTCTAACACCTCTAGCAGCCTTTTCCTTCACCTTCCTAAGTCCCTGATAATTAGGAAAAATGGCTTGATTAAAAAGAAGGCTCCTTCAGTTGACATAAAATCACCTTTTGGTAATTTTTTGCCTGGAGCCGACTGAAACATTTAGGAAAGGCTTTAGATACAGCCCACCCACCCCTAGGGCAACGGAAAACCACGTTTAACACAGCCGTCATCTTTAATTCTCAGCGGTTCTTTCCCCCTCAAAGGCTATTCCTGTCCTAGCTGCAGACCGGGAGCTGCTCCCGGTGACGTCAGAGCAGTCTCCCAGCAACGGCTAAGGAGGGCTGTCCACACAGGGGTTTCCTGAAAAGCTAATGAGAAATTACCCACATATCTGCCGTAATATCAAGGTGCATAGATGCAATGGGTTTCAGCTTATTAACCTCAGAGCAAATAGGTTATCCTTTCAGAATGGTCTTCCTTTAATCTAGACTTAGCCTTCTCTCCCTCACCCCACCACTTCTGTCTAAATAAAGTTAAATTGTTAGTTTGAAACATTGTGGATATAAAAATTACTGAGACACTGAAGAAAACAGAATTGCAAAATTAAGCTAAACAGTGGCAATTATTTTTTCACTTATTACAAAGAATTCAGAGTAACAGAGAAATAAACAGGCAAGCTTTTAAAGGCACAACCCATATATGGTGTCTCATATAGATCTTTAAAGAAAGGTGACTCTCAGATTTCTCCAGGTGTTAGTCTGCTGAGTTCTTCAAATTGACCTCTGCAGTATTAAAATCAAACACTAAACCCAAAATCAATGAGCTAGGGCTGTTGCTGACACCTAGGCTCATACCTGGCAAGTCCTTCCTAAGCTATGTTTTAGCTATATAGATTCAGACTGAATTCTACTCTGAACCTCTCTGGCAAGGACTTTTATATAACTACCTATTTTGAGATCTGGAAAACATTACACAAAACGATCAGGACAAGTATAAATAATACAGAAAAAAAAAAAAAACCCAAATGTCAAGACTCAGCTTAACATCATGGTTCTGGGTTCTTAGCCTACCCCCCCCCAACATGAACTCCTTTTCTGTATATTTATAAACAGTAATTAGGTAAAACTCATCAGTAACAGCACTCACAGGGTTAATCCAAGCACCTTGCTTCAGCAATCCGGACTTTAAGCTACGCCTGTTGTAAAAGAAACAAACACAGGGTGCCCATCACTAAACACCCTGCTGCAGCATCAGCTTCATTCAGTGGTACCCAATTATCATCATCAAGTCATAAGGAGAACACAGGGCTTCAGATCGTTTCTCTTCTTCCTTCTCTCGGTCCCCTCCCTCTCAGAAGAAAAAGACTGCAAACAAAATAATACGTCACTGGAGGTAGAGGGAATCCCATCTCTGCACTCTTTAGAAACCAAAGCCAGCAAACAGAAACAAGCCAATTGTAAGAAACAAACAAGTCACCCAAAATTAGAAGTGGCAAAGCCAGAGAAACTCCTACCGACCCCAACACATCAAACAGCATTTGTAGGAAAACAGTTTAGCAAAATACCCAAAATACCCCCAGATGTTTATAATCACAAAAGCTCCCCAGATACGGAAAAGGCGACATATTTCTTCTTAACACATTCAAAGAGTAGGGGACAGTTACATAAAGACACAGGACACAGAGGCATATTCACCGGCGGGCATGGAGAGCTGGGTAATGACACAGTGAAGGATATTTATAGGGGATTCCCTGCTTCCTGCAATGTGCGTCAACAGCATCACCAAAGAGAGCAGAAATCACTGCGATTCTCATAAGCAAAATCTGAATGAAGCATTGCTTTAAAAATAATTATGGAAAAGGTAGAATCTGCATACAGTAGAAATCCTAGCAAAGCTAATTATTTAAAATCTTTCAAACATTAAAAAAAAGCCCCTGAAAATGTTCAGAAAATCCTCAAAAAATTTAATTTCTATAGTGTAAGCTGTGCAGTTAAATAAAAAACGGTATTTTTTTAAATGCCAGTTTTTGTCACCTCATCCCTCCCAACCTGTGAGGTCCAAGGACTTTTATTTAAGAAATAAAAATTGCCCACAACTCACCCCAGATGTATCTGCACGACAGCCAGCAGCAAGCTCACATTATTAATGGAGACCTCATTGTAAGGAGCGGTTCTGCCGGAATTTTGCCGGAAGAAATTCCTTCTGGGAAACCTGTGCCTCTTCCCCCGCCCACAGTCGCCAGCCGCCCCCCTTCACCCTTGAATGAAACGCTACTGATCCTTGTAGCTGCTTCTCCAGCAAGCTAAGTGCTCTGACAGCAGGTCTGAAGCTGACCACAGCCCAGCTCTTTTAAGGGATGTCACCCAGAGCTCTGCCAACAGACAGACAGACCGTGCACACACAGACACACACAATGCAAGCGCACACCCCCACCTCCTCTTGCTTTCATTCAAGCACTTCAGTGGCAAGCCTGCCTCACTCACACCGCTGAGGGGCTGCAAGCCTGCCTCACTCACACCGCTGAGGGGCTGCAAGCCTGCCTCACTCACACCGCTGAGGGCAGCTTCCAAAGATACAGCAGCAAATCCTTTTTGCTGCAAATGTTCAGCTGCCAAGACAGACTTTTTAGTGAAGATATAATGATCTGACGATATGTAAAAGTTCACCTTTAAATTAATCCTGCATTTTTCTACCCTGCAAAATAACTGAGGTCAAAGAAAGGATTTTCACCTAAAAGCTACCAGGTTCAAGTTTAAAAATGTAAAACAAGGACCAAACCCAGCCACAGAGAATTTTCTTTCCAGCGAGCTATATTTAGTAAAATCATTTATCATTTGGGGGCAGAAGACAAGCATCATGGAACAATAGTGGTTACCCATTTCTCCTCCCATACTGGTCCCTAAGACCAATGAGGAGCTACGGAAGGCACCATGGGGGGGGCATGAATGAGGAGGGATACTGGGGTAGGGATAAATACATCAAATACAGGAGCGAATTCAAAAGAGGCCGTGGGAAATGTGGTGACTATGGAGTGTGCACGTGGGCCAGCAACAGTAGCTCAGACCACTAATTCTAGCATGAGGGAGGGGGACAGGTGTGCTTTGAATCCAACCCAGCCTGGGCTACAGAAAAAGACAGCTTTGTTGTTGATGCTGAGACAGGGTCTCAATATGTATGTAGCCTTGGCTGACCTGGAACTAACTCATAGATCTCACCCAGCATCTGCTTCTCACAGCTGGCATCAAAGGCCTGAGCCACCACACCCTGCAAAGGCTCTATCTTGGGAGGAAAAAAACAAAAATGAAAACAAAAAACAGAAATCCCTGAGCCTCAACACCATTTCCCTGAATCTACCCTGGAGCTTCTGAATTAAATTCAGCACGTGGGATCACACCCATAATTCCATTATTCTCGGAGACTGAAGCAGTTCAAGGTCAGCCTAGGCTACAAAGACCCTGTCTCAAAATAATACAAATAAAGTAAAATAAAGTGTGGCTCTGCAATAACAACTTAACTGTGCCTTTCAGATTCTTCCTCCCTTCCCTCTTCTCTTCCTTCTGAGTCCCTTCCTTTTGTTCATAAGGACTGAATCCAGAACTTTGTGCATGCTAAGAATGTACTCTGCCTCCGGCCCTGGGTCCCAATGTTTAACTGCCTAAAGAGAAGTGGTAATAATGCCTAATGCTACAAGAAGTAGTGGACCTTACATGTAGTTCAAAATCTGTAATAACAAAAAATTACTACGGCTAAAGCCAAGGTAACCTAAGAAAAGAGGCACTGTTAAAAAAAAAAAAACAAAAACTTGTCCATGGGACCAGAGAGATCACAGCACTGGCTGCCAGAGAGGGCCCGCCTGGGCTTAATTCCTAGCAGCACCCACATGGTACCTTACAGCCATCTGTAACTCCAGTCCCTAGGGGATCCAACATGCTCTTGACACACATGGAACACAGACATGCATGCACACCAAACACCTACACATGTGAGATAAATAAATTCTTAAAAACTCATTCATTCAGTCAGACACATATTTGTTGTATGTACATGTTCTTACTATGGGCCCGGCACTATGATAAGTTCTATGGATATGACACAGCTTCGTTAACATTCATACTAAAGACGACAAAAAGACACTTTTTAGGCTCATAGAAAACAGACAAACAGATCACTGGAAGAAGTCCTGCTTCTATTATTTTCTGAGATGAAAGGATACTGGAACACAAGTAGTTTTTTAAAGTAACTTACTGTGTGTGTGTGTGTGTGTGTGTGTGTAGACACACAGAGGCATGTGTATGCATGCACAGGTCACGGCATACAAGCAGACATCAGAGGACAATTCTTGGGAGTCAGTTATCTCTGCCATCATGTAAATCAGGTGGCTGAGCTGGGCAGCTCCTCGTTAGCAGATTTTAAGCAGGGGAACTACTTGTTCTGTCCCTACATTTCTTTGTGGCCTCCAATTTTTTGTTTCCACAAGTTTATACTATATAGAAGATCAAAAATTAATGAAATAATCACTTAGAGCCACACAAAAAGTATATTTTTTAAAAAGTATATTTTCATGTAAATATGTGATGTAAAGTTTTAAATGTTACCATGGTAACTCACCATATTTCAGTATCTATCCCTAGCAGATACAATACGGTCACTCTGAACTATATAAAAAAAGCCACCAAAGCTGGGTGTGGTGGCACAAGTATTTAATCCCAGCATTCAGAAGACAGAGGTAGGTGGATCTATCTCTGTGCATTTGAGGCCAGCCAAGACTGCATAGGGAGCTCTAGGACAGCCAGGGCTACATAGAGAGACCCTGTCTCGGAAGGAAAAACAAGGGAAAAATAAAAATAAAAAGGAAAGGAAAGGAAAAGAAAGAGGAAAACTACCTAGGTGAGTTCTTGATGAATTACTGGGTAGCCCACATGAAAAGATCTAAAGACTAAAAACTGAAATGACTTCTTTTGTGGGGGGGGGGAGACAATCTGTTTTGGAGATAGGGTCTTAAACACACTATGAACCCCTCCAAACTCCACCTTCTAAGTACTGGCAATACAGGCATGTCTACCATGCCAGTCTCTGACATGACTGTAGAACCACTACCCTTTAAGAAAGCTGAATAGAGACCCCAGGATGATTTTCAACTATATCAAATGTCCACTAAAGTCAACACTGACTTGAAGGATTTAAACAAAAATCCAAACCCTGGTAATACAATTACCCAAAATTCCAGGAAACAATCTAAAATTACATGGCTAAGTAAAGAACCAAGATTATTCTAATTTGCATAAAACAAGACATGAACAATCAAAACATCAAGACGGACAGATTTGGATTATTAGACAATGAGCTTTAGGCAGACATTATACAAATGTTTCAACAAGCTACAACAGACACTCAAACAGTTGAAAAGACAAGCAGCTTCAGCAAAGAAATAGAATATATACAGAAATAAAACTGGAAACTTTAGAAACACAAACTATAACAACCAATATACAGATAATTACTGTATGAGTTTAGCAATAGACAGTAAAACAATATAATAAATTTGAAGGCCAATCAAAGATTAATGCACAATGTAAACAAAACACACACACACACACACACACACACACACACACATATTTGACAAAACTAGAAACCAATCTGTAGTAAAAATGCTCATTAATGAGATTGTCTTTAAAAAGAAAAAGCCAAAAAAACACCCCAGCAAGCTCTCCCTATGTAGCTGAGCTTGAGATAGTATGGGACTTTCTATGTAAATAAGGCCAGCCATCCACTCACAGTGGCCCTGTTTCTCCTTCCCAAATTCGGGATTACAAGGGAGTCACTGTGCCTGCCTTAAACTGGCCTGTTTTAAAACAGTCAAAGAAACCTAAAGAACGAATGTTTCTCTGCTAGGCAATGGTGGCACACGTAGAGGCAGGCAGATCTCTGTGAGTTCGAGGCCAGCCTGAGCTACAGAGTGAGTTCTAGTGCAGCCAGGGCTACACAGAGAAACCCTGTCTCAACCCCCCCAAACACAAAAAAAAGAGCTCACTGTCACTCCTATTCAAGACCACAGTGGAAGCCCTAAATCAATGCAATAAGCCAGAAAAAGAAACAAGCCACATAGTCAGGAACAAAATATAATTGCTCCTACCCACAGACCATAACCATATACACAGAAAAGACCCAAAAGTCAAAAGACTGAAACTAAACAAAACCAAAAAATATACCACACCAAGAAATGTCCTTACCTACATCATCCCAGGACATCGACACCAACAGACCAGTCAAATTTAGCATAAGCTATTAAAAAGTAAAATACTATTTATAACTGTGCTCCTCAAATTAAATGCTCACATACTGAAAACCACAATAGAAGATA